AATTAGCCACCCAGTTATTTGATCTGTATCTGACAAACACCTTAGTGACCAAATAATGTTTAACTATGTTGACTGGAAATATTAGCATAAAAGTAACCTTAGGAAAAACCCACACTCAAACTCCGCACATGCCAGACAGCACGCTTCTTAGGTAAAGACACCTACATATATTTCTTTTCCTAATTCAAAATGATTCTCTATCCCTGCAGAAAAGGTAAAGCAAATGTATGGCCTTCTAGTAAAAAACACATGAGGCTTAATAATGTCTAATGTCTGCAGTTGCTGATGAGGGAACAGATTAAAATTACCATTAGCTTCCTGAATTTGTTTAACTCGTCTACCAAATCAGAATCCATATTCTGGTCAATCATTTCCAATCTCCTGCCATCCACACTGCATAAGTTTCAGTCAACCAGTCAACAAGTATTTACTGCCCTGCCAAATAGGTGAGATACACACAGCAATAACAATTAATTCCCTTTAGAGTTACGTGTGCTAGAAATGGAGCATTAAAAACAATCATTACTTGCATAAAGGCAGAAACAAAGATTACGAAGAAAACATTTCTTGAAAATGCTGATAAATGCCTTTTTTCCTTCACAATGAAAACATCAAATGAATGTCTTCAAGATTTACTTATGAGGAAAAGTGATTCGCCTAGGATACACATGAGACAATTTTATAATTGCTCCTTTCACTTTGAAAGATTTTTGGAATTAGATTGTTGTTCTATGAAACTGCAAGCTAATAGGACCTACTGTGATTTCCTGCGTTTTTAAGTTGAGATTGTAAATAAATGAATGTATAGGAGTTAGCCATGTTTTAAAGCTATGAAATTCAGATATTATAAAATTTAAAAGTCCTTAAGTTATATTTTAAACAAATTTCATGTTTATACTATATTTCTAAATGTCATTTACTAAGTGGGGGGGAAGCACATTTTTCCCTTTTGGGAAAATAAAGCACACTAAAATGTGTTAAAGCCACAGGGAAGTTTTAAGGCAGCCACATTTATTCTGTATGATATTGTGATGAAGCACACATATCATTCATTATACATTTCAAAACCCACAGAATGTAAAACATCAACATAGGACCCTAGTGGTAAACTACAGACTTTAGTTAATAATCATGTACCAATGTTGATTCATCAGTTATAACGAAAATGCCAAAGCACTTTATAATAAGGGTGATTGGGGGGTGGTATGTAAACTCTCCATGATTTACACGCATTTCTCTTTAAATCTAAAACTACTTGAAAAAAATAAAATAGTTGTAATTCACCCATGTAAAGATAAGAGGTAAAGTCTCTACCTTTTTTTAATGCTGCACAGTATTCCATGGTATAGATATACCACAATGTATTAATCCATTCATGGGTCAACCACAACGATAGCCCAGGATGAAGGAGGGAAGGGGAGGGGGATGGGAAGAGGGGGGTGGTTCGATAGAGGGAGGGTTAATGGTGGGACCATATCCATAGAGCATATTGCAAGGATACAAATCAAATCTATCAATTGAACACAAATGTCTTAACGTGGTAATTAAGTAAATGAGGTAAAAAGCTATGTTAATTAGTAGGATATAAGTACTCCAATTTGTACAAATAATCAACACATTGAATCTCACAAAGGCATGAATGTATTCATGATCTATGTATATATGACTTCATAAAAAAAAGAAAAAAAGAAAATAAAGTCTATCATTAAAGGAATATTAAAACAATCATTAATAAAACACGCACTTCCACATGAATTTCAATAGTTGTAGAAATTACGCCATTCCTGGTAAGTATTAACATACAGCACCCTGTCAGACAGACACCATCACCTGCACCTCACTCCTTTCCTCCTTTGAGCCTATCCCCCTCCACTTTAGTTTTAGTCTGAGACTTGACAATGACAGTGAACCCAGGTCAAAGTGTTTTCAGATGTTCATTCAAATTACAAAGCCAACAATCTCCCCTACCGGTCACAACAAAACATGGTGTAAGGCAGCCCATGGACCCCAAAGGGGATATCATCTGTTGTATACCTATGGGGTTCTAGAAGCTGCTTTCAGAGGCATTTTTAAAAGTAAGAAGCTTTTAACGTGCAAAGTGGGCAGGAGAATGATGGTGCCCACTTTAACATCTGTCAAAATCCTCCTAGATGTTGGGGATTGAGGAGAAATGTTTCCCCTGTGGTGTCAGCGTTGAGTGTTATTGTGGCTTTCTGAAGCCTGAGGTTTTTCCCTGGAGTTCCATTTATACCTGTCTGATGACCTTGACTTACTCCTCAAGGCACCTGTGCACAGATTGCAAATGCTATCAATCTTTTAGTCAGAAATTGCCATGAAGACGCAAGTCTCCACAAAAGAACTCAGGAGTGCAAAGAACACTCAAAACAATGCCAAGTATCAGCCCTTCTGGGAATCTCGGGGCTGCACCTCCTGCACAACTAACAGAGAAATAAGTGCACACTGAAAAGCCTTTTAGAAATATTGATACATTGGTGTCATACATGGACCAGTAATTCATGGCTAAAGAGAAAGTAGAAATCAGAAAATGTTTTGTGAAAATAAAACTAATTTCCACTCTGACTTTCTTTTGAAAAGTTTCCTTACACATTTTCAGCCCCTACTTTTCTTACTTTGTATTCCCTTTACAACCCTTAAATTAATTTCAATTCACTTAGTGGATTCACTTGCTATTTTGAAATACTACTTTATTTCAAAATGTAACCAAGGAAAACAAAGCATTACCCTCAGGAAATGCCTTGTGTCAAGTGGCATAAATTAAGCTCCCCAAAATGAACATGGAGGAGGTCCCAGCGTTGTTAGAACTGGTCTCTGTCATTCAATTCAAACATCTATCCCACACACAAAAATCAGCCTCCTTGGGCTCACCTGAGGTCTCCTAAACTGACTCACCCTTGGTGGACCCACTCTCACCCTGGGTGGGTTTGAAACATCTGGCCAACTCAAGAACAACATGAAAAAAAAAAATATCTAAATGATTTAACAATTCAGGAAGCCAAATTTTGATTGTGAGGCAATGATATGAATAGAAATAAAGAAATATTGGAAAAGCAGAGCTCTCTTTGTAAAATAAAATTAACTTTGTCTGCAGCAGCAGCTCTCGCAAACTTTGCCATGTATGGAAATTACCTGGATTGTTTGTTTAAGCTTGTTGTAGAACAAGTGGGGGGCAACGGACGTGTTTGATGTTCAGGAACCTTCCCTTAGTAATAAGCAACTTGGTTCTAGCACATAAGTTAAGCCCACGATCTTTTCCTCACCTCTACCTTTGTCTAGTCTCCACCTTTGTGTCACCTGCCTTACTATCTCTGGGGGCTGCCCACGTCCCCACTGCTGCAGAGAAAGGAATGGAAACAATCTTTGCTGTCACCTGCTTCTTACAGAATTGTTTTCTCTTCCATGCCATGGGATCACACCTTCCGCCATAAAATAAAATGTTGAGAAGAGTTAAGATCATACTTGTCTCCTACGAGGAAGACGTTTTTGTCTTCTATCTGGAAGGCAACAGTAATGGTCTTATTTCCATATAAAAATATCAACCTGCTAGCTAAATTTAAAAAATCTAGCATAGTTCCTGGATTAATGAAATAATGATTTCTTCCCTTGAACTATCCAACTATCTCAACTCATCAGCACCCTTGGCTAACTGAGGACTGGTCGTTACCTGTTTAGAAGAAGCTGGTAGATTATACCTCATCTACAGATTAAAAGTCTGTGTCCCATTCTTCTAAGGCTTCCTGGAGTCTGTCCTAATGTTGTGTTACAGTTGGTCCCTTCCGTTCACATTTTTAAAACTAGTCATACTGAGTACACTAAAAAGGTTTCTTCTATTGAAACCACTTTGCACTGCAAGCAGGTAACACTGTGGTTAGAATTGTTGAGCAACACATCTCTTTCAGTTCAGGGCTTATGTGAAAATAACCACGTGTGTCACACATAGCTTCCTTCTACCCCAGAGCTGAGTGCAGAAATGAATGTTTGGTCAGAGGAAATGCTCACATTGAAAAGATTGAACTTACAGACTAACAACTTTGCAAAAGACAAAAACTTTGAACTGAATGTGGATAAACTCAAGAAAGCCCAGACTGTCCAAACTTTAGACTCTTACCAGAAACGGACTCCAGCAAATGCAGGAGACACACATTATCGCCAGGAGCTGGATGACCATTTCAAAATGATGAGACCTGCCTTGTCTGTGCTGCTGACTTTTAAATTTCACTCTTAAAAGTGTAATTCCTGTGATGGCATTGCATAATAATGAAACACCAAGGGCTAAGAGCCCCAGAAAGGAAAAAAGTAGAAGATAAAATCTATCTTCCCAGTCTTCGATGTGCTCTGTGTTGTAGAAACACCAGGTCCTCGATGCCTGAATTTTATAGTCTCGATGTCCAAGGATGGGCAGCAAAGCTATAAAAACAGCAAACAAGCACACTCCACTCAACATCATTTTCACATGTTTGGATGTAATTTTTGTAGAATGAAATATTGGCTTGGTGACTCCAATACACCGCTCGATGGCCATCGCACTGCCCAGCAACAGTGGGCACAGGCCAGAGAACACCATGCAGATGCCAAAAACACTGCAAAGGACGTTGGATTGGTTGAAGCGGATCCAGTCCTTGTCAGAAGCGTACACAAACACGGCTATGGCTCCATTGATGAGATGGCCGAAGAAGTCTGTGATGACCAGGCCACTGGCCAGCAGCAGGAACGAGGCCTTGGACTTCTGTCTGAATCTCTGATACGCCTTCATGAGGATGGCAATGGCAAGGCTGTTTGACAAGATTCCCACGGTCATGAAGATTATTGAAAAATAGACAGAAAGCCGGTTTTCTGGTGTCTGGCAGGTTGTGTTTGAAAGGAACCCAGCTGCAGGAGACACGGGCTGTTTGGAATTGTTCATGGACATTGTTGTAAAGATAAGAGCTGGCCACTCAAGTCATGTCCGTCTCAACACTGTGCAGCCGCGCAGTCCAAACATCTGGAGCATAAAGAGAGAGGAATTATGAAGATCGCATCTCTGCTCATCTGACATTTATGACTGAAGCGCCCAGCCCCCCCCCCCCCCATGGTGCGACTGGCTTTATCTGCCTATGGTAAGGAGGTTGCATCATGCTGAGAGCAGCACACATCTGCCTGCTGCGGTTCCACATTGCACGTTCAAGGTTCTGAAGCTGCCCGAATTGACACCCTGGGTTAACCTCTGCAGCATCTCTCTGCAAGTGGCACCTTCTAAATGTCTCCCTGACACTTCACTGGCGCCTTATACCTTTCAGCTTTTACAAAACCTCCAACAAGATTAGATTTAAACCCGTTAAAGCTTTAAATAACAAACTAGCCTACTGCAATAACCAGAAGCCCTTTAAAAGTTTCTGCTCTTCTGGTGTGTTTTGTTCCCAGACTGCAGATGATCCCTCAGTTGAACTACCTCTTGTCAGGCAGGTAGAATCGTCTCCAGCCTTTGGAAGGAGACCAGCAATTTCACTGATGTTAAATGGCGCTTTCCTGAATGCACTTCTAAAGCCTAAACCAAGTCATAGCAAACTACACACACCCTGGACGCAAGGCAGGCAGAGTCGTGAGTCTCTACGGAGGTTTTCGGGTCCAGCTGTCACGGTGCAGAAATCCGGGTTCGCGGTGGGGCAGGGGGCGGGCCTCACTCCTCGCACCTCCGCCTAGATACAGCCTAGTTGCAGCTTCGGAGTTGCAACCTCCAAGGGGAAATATTTATTTGTCGCCCTTTCCCCGGGGTGAGGAGGAGGCCCTGAGTCACAGACACTCAGTACACGCGACCGCAGCCACCCTTGCCCCGAGCTAACTGAATTGGCGTTTCGGAGCAGCTTTCCGGAAGGCTGGGAGTTCTGAGCCAGCCTTTCCTGGGACCGACCCGAGTGGGACCGCCCCGGCTGCCCCGAGCCGGCTGCCAACTCCGGGTCTTACAACTCAATTTTCGCTGGTTACTACCCCAGCCGCCCCCAGGCCTCCCCTCGCAACGTCCTCCCCAAACCTATAAGTCCCTGAAACTTTCTGCAATTACTCAAACCCGAGAGAGCTGTTTTCCCACCCACCTGGGGAAGCCTCAAAGGCCAGCGCCAGCCGGGGAGAGAAACTCGGGTGTTGCCCGCAGGGACCCACGCGGCGAGAAGGGGGTCTCTCTCTCTGCCCAATCCCTCCTCTGAGCCCTTCCCACCCAGTGCCGGTCCGCACAGCTCAGAATGGGGACGGGTCGGCCCGAGTACCCTTCTATCTCTATTGGTCTCCCCAGCATGGGAATCTGGTCCCAACGTGGTGCCAAGCGCAGCCCAGGTGCCCTCCCGCTCGGCTGGCTGCAGCTGTCGCCGGCATCCTGCGGGAGAGACAGGCTGAACCTGGGTCGCGCGGAGCATCCAGACGTAGAAGCCTGGGGATCCAGCCTCTGGGAGGTGGTTACCTTGGCATCTCCGGCCACCAACCCGGCTGGCTGCAGAGCAGAAGAGCGCGTCCCTCTGTGCGCCATGGCGCGCCAGACCCCGCGTCGCCGCCGCAGCTTCCCCGGGCGCAGCGCGGCTCTCCTGCTTGGGCTCCAGCTCTGGCTCGCGTCCGGTCTCTGGTCCTCTCCGCGCGCCCCTTCCCCTAGCACCGAACCTGCCAGCTGGGCCGCTCGGATCCCTCTGCACCTAGCTGCGCTCGCAGCCTGGGCGGGATGGAGGACGCGGGTGACCTCCGCCCCTTCTTCTCGCTCCTCTCCGCCCACTTTTCCATGGGCACAGAGCAGAACCGGGAGAGACTAGGGCACCGCGCTCGGACGCTACGGCCACCCCATTAGCGACCGGGCTGCCCTTCAGCCTTCTGATCGACTAGGCTGGGGAAAGTTCTGTTTCAAACTGATTTGCGCGGGAAGGGGGCCCATCTCCGAGCATGGAAGACACAAGTCAGAACTGGACAGATCAGGGGTAGCGCTTGGGACTGTCAGATTGTCGCTTGCGGACTGAACTCATTCCAAGTCCAGCTCCAAACAGAAATCAGGTAGAAAGGGGCTGTTGTTGGCGGGAGGGCTTCGTGGCAGATACCCCAGGGAGTTAAAAACAGGTCTGCGAGCCAAGTGTTGTAAATGGAAACACTCGCAGCCTTCGGGCTCCCCGGCGCACAGGGGGCTGGACCGTTTCCAGCTTTCGAAGGAATGTGAGGAGGGAGAGGGTGAGAAGTCTGCTTTAATACCTGCACATGGGGATTATAACAGTTCATTGATTTTTTTTTTTTTTGGAGTCCCCTGGGGAGAGACATTCTAGTGACATGTATGAGTACACCCAAATCGATGCAAATGTAAAAAGCATTGGGAAGATGATTTTAGGAGGAAGAAAAGACTAACTTTTTCATTAGGAATTGTGATTTGAGCCATTTTTGTATGACAATAGCTTTTTGCCACGTATCTTTTGACCCATACCAGCTAATAGTGTCTCGTTTTTCTAACTGAACTCCTTATGAATCTATTCCTGACTTTTGCTTTTGATTTAAGTAAAATGTTACCACCGCGTATGAACAAAACCAATGCCACAGATTTCTCCAGTCTAAAATCAGAAGGGGCTTCTAAATTCCTGAAAATGAGAACGGATCGTATAATGCAAAAGTGAGGTAAAATCAATCAACCGTTAACTGTAGAAAAAAAATGAATGTCGTTTTCTCCTGTGGCGTGTATTGAGATGTGATCATGATTTGTAAAATGAACTACTATTCAGGTATGGACAGGGATTTAAACATTTTCCTTAGTCAAACATCCTGGTTGGCAGGGAAATATTATACTCACATGGCCAGTAGCCAAAAAACAACTATGTCATAAGCCACTATGAAAATGCGAATTACACAGAACACTGTTCTTCCACTGAGTAATAACATTTAATCACAGTCCATTGCAATCATCAGTTTACTGATGTCTCTCCCACTAAAATGCCCCTTGAAATTCTACCAAGGACTTGGTCACCTCTTTATCCTCACCTAGGACAACGCCTGGCCACTCACCAAATGTTTGAATGATGGCTGCTGTAGGGAGCATTTCAGGATTTCAGAAAAACTCTCAAGATGTCTCTGGACCATCTCTCTTAATATCAGCAGCTCTAGGTATTGGAAAGAAGAGCAGGAGAAGAAATTCATGTTAACATAATATCAGATCATAAATTTGTTATGTAATATATTCGAAGGTAGTACAATTTGCATTGTTGCTTGTGAGAAGGGCATACTCTCATAGAACTATTGATTTAACAAATTCATTAAGCCAGTGTGGTTCTCAACCTTCCTAATGCTGGGATGTATTTTCATTGTTACAAAGGGGTCGTGACCCAGCCACTGCATTAAGCACCTGCATGGTGCCAGGTGCTGTTTCTAGGAGGCAGAGATACAGCTACATGCAAAAAGCATCCAAGCGCCTGCTCTGATGTGGCTTCTATGCTGGAACAAAACACCTATTTCACACATGTGGAATGCATACCCAAAACAACGATGTGATTTTAGGGATGTGGAGATGTCCACCTGTCTACAAAGAGCTAACGTGATGGGTGTGTGCTTGGCAATCACCTTCATTCAGGATTCAAGGAAGGACACTTTGCCCAAATTAAAGTCAGAAACGGGAGCTCTGTGTCACTAAGATTGAAATAAAAACATCTTAAAAGTCAAAAGGAGTTTTAAAAGTTGATTTTATAGTTTAAACAAAATTGTCTGGAAATGCTTTGTTGGAATTTACCATCAAGGTTAACAGTGAAAACAGGCCCCAGTTTGGCATTAATAAAAATAATAACAAGGACTTTTGTAGTTTCATTGTTATTATGTAACTATTTGGTACATAAAAGGTAATATAGGTGACACATTTATAAGTTGTAGATTGTAAAATAAACACCCATGACCTGATTTAAGAACTACACTTATTTTCTAGGCCTTCTGTAACAAAATACCACTAACTGGGTGGCTTAAACCAGTAGTCCTCAACCTTTTTGGCACCAGGGACCGGTTTCAGGAAAGATAATTTTTCCAAAGATGGAAGGTTGGGGTGGGGAAGTGGGGAGACATTAGATCCTCACAAGGACAACGTATCTTAGATTCTTACAGTGTAGTTTACAGTAGGGTTTGGGATCCTGTGAGACTCTAATGCCAACCTGATCTGACAGGGGGCAGAGCTCAGGTGGCTACATGAGCAACGGGGAGCACCTGTAAACCCAGATGAAGCTTTGCTTGGCCCCCCATTCACCTTGTGCTGTACCAGTGAGGGCCACAGGCTTAAACAGAAATTTATTATTTTATAATCTAGAGGCTGGAAGCCTGAAATCAAAATGTCAGAAGAGTAAGTTCCTTCTGAGAGCTAGGACAGAAAATCTTTTCTGTGCCTTTTGCCCAGATTTTGGTGATTTCCTGGCAGTCTTTAGTGTTCTTAGGCTTGTGGATAAATCACTCCAATTTTTGCGTTCATTTTCACAAACATTCTCCCTGTGCTTGTGTCTTCACATGACTGTCTTCTGATAAAGACCTCAGGTCCACCCCACTCCAGTGTGATCTGATCTAATTATATCTGCATCTACCTTATTTCCAAACAAGGTCATATTCTGAGATAGAAGGGGTGAGGACATCATGGAATCTATTTGGGGGAGAGACAAAGACTATCTAGAACATTACCAATAATTACATCTATGTGTGTGCCTGACTCTCCATTCCCTTTGTCCCATCCCTCCCCCAAATAAACACTCCCCTGAATTGTGTGTCACTATTCTGTTGTGGTTTTTACCTTGTTTTATCACATTAATATACAAGTGAACCAAGATATTACTTACTCTTTTTTGATCTATAACTTAATCTTTGGCAACTTGCTTGTTAAATGCAAAATTTTCAAAATCCATGAGTATTGATGTATGCGGTAATAGTTCTTTCATTTTCAAAATTTCATAATACTTTAAATGTTTGAATATTCAAATATTTGAAAAAGTATTCTGGCTTAGTTACTAGGTCTATTTCCCCAGTTTC